TTTTTAGTTTATTGAAAAGAATTTAAAATTACCTTTCCAAAAATATAACACACTTGATATATTGCTCGATTCCTCTTCGAGATATAGAGTATATAAAAATTTGCCCGCTTTAAATGAGTAGGCTTTGAACGGCACCGGCTATAATGCAAAAAATTCAAGCTGTGAGCATCAATTAAAACGAAAATAATATTTGTTATGAGAGATGCAGAATTTTATAACAATTTAAAATATATTTAACCAACATCAACACATTTAAACTATATCTAATAGCAATAAAAATAAATAGCAAACCAAGACAAGAGATTTTGCTACAGGTGTTCGACATATCGACCGACTTCTGTTATGGACAGACGGGGCAGTTTTTGAACATTTCTCGCGGAATTCATTAACTCTGTGGGGGTGAAAGATACCTTCTCATAACTGCTAAGTATTTCTAATTCTTGTCTAGATTATACGGAATAAGGAACCTTTATTCTTCCGCAAATATATCCATAGGATTAGATCCATGGGCACTAAGTCAGGCGGCCTCGACGGCCAAAGTTTGGGATCTTGGTTAGTTATTCAATTATTCTTGAAATTGGCTGCAAAAATTTGCTGATAACTTCAGCATTCAGAGTCGTCTTACTGGAAAAATATGTTTTCGAGTTCCATTAAGGGCATATCATCAATAAGGGGTCCAAAGCCTACTAGTTAAAAGTGGCGAACTTTTAAAAATTCTGTATTTCGAAGGGGATTATAACAAAATATAAAGTGTGCTATATTTTTGGAAAGGTAATTTTAAATTCTTTACAGTTAATTAAAAATATAGAGGGTGTCCCATATAAAAAATCAATTTTTCTGTTGATAACTCTTAAATTATTAATTTTAAAAAAATTATACTTAAACCATTAAATTCTACGTAAAAAGGTGCTTTGGAAATGCTTTCATAAAAATACAAAACTTTCCATAGCAAAAAAGTTACAGCGATTTGTTAAAAATGCCACATTTTTGAAAAACACCCCGTAACTCCGAAACGGTAAAAGATATTGATGTGCGGTTTTGACCATCATGTTTTTGATGAAAATTGAGCTCCAGACACCGATATTAATTTTCGTCTATCTCCTATAGAAAAGGGTGTTTCCATTTAAAAGCGTCGAATTTGACCCACCCTGTACATAAATTACTTTGCTACAAATACCGTAATCTTAAATCATACACAGTGCTCAAAATTATATGCCAAACTTTGTAAAATCTAAAATACTTTTTCTTCGTTCTTTTTTAATGGTACACCCTTGGTATTATTTCTTTCTTAGATGGAGAATTAAAAGATGAAACTTAAAAATTATATTTAAAAAATCAAATAATGAAATACGAAATACGATAATTAATGTGGTACCAAATTATTCCTAAAAAAATTATTTTTCCAAATATGCTGATGAGTCACCCTCATTCCATTTGAAAAAATTGAGATATGATTAAAAATACGATTTGGGCATCTTTTAACCGGCCAGGTCAAAACAGGAAAAACATTAGACGATCAAATATATTTTCCAAGGCTCCTCGATTAAAAATTAGTGGCACAGCCATGACACTCTAGCTTAAATTTTAAAATACGATTTCTTTCTTAACGAAAATGTCAAAAGTTCATGCCGGTAGGCACAAAATAAACAGGGTCATTATTTTATTTCTAATCTTCTTCAGGACTGCCAGCATTTTATCAAACATTAACGTCAATCTTTGGGGCATTTTTGGGTCAATCTAACGGGCATGTTTGGCCGTAACATCAATATATGATAAAAAATGGTCTGTAAAAAAAATTAAATTTTACTTACTTGCAATTAATATACTCGGACACAATAAACAAAAATTGTTCTATATCGAATTTATATATATATATATATATATATATATATATATATATATATATATATATATATATATATATATATATATATATATATATATATATATATATATATATATATATATATATATATATATATATATATATATATATATATATATATATATATATATATATATTATATATATATATATATATATATATATATATTTCTAGCAGTCGTTCTTTAAAGACTTGTAGATAAATCATACTTGACTTAATGGCTTATAGATATATCTGAAGTATTACCACGATAAAAAATAATTATATTTTTGACTTCGTTTTTTTAAATACGATTTTTTATGTATCATGTGTTGCATAGTCCGACATGAACACTAAGCCGAGAATTCATCTGGCGAATGTTGATGGCGATGAATCATAGCCAATCGCATCTTTTTCTTTCGTTAACATTTCCACCATTTCAACCCTTTCCACTTGATTGTCTATCTTTTTTTGTGGGTATGGTAAAAAAATCTTTTTAGACACCTGGTCTATCATTCTAAAAACCGAGGTGTACCGGATTCAGTCCTACTCTAGGCAACTGTCTACCGACTAAAAAAATCCACCCTATAGGAATCTGCTTTCGTATTACTTCAATACGCTTTGCCGGTAATTCAATATCATAAAATTATAGCATTTAAGAATTTATTTCTATAATATATATTATATAATAAAATAATATAATAATAATAAATAATAAATAACGCTTTATTGTACAAAAAGCCAAAATAGCTTCACCGACAAAGCATTTACAAAACAAACAAAAGCACAAAAAATATACAAATAATAAAAAAATCTAATAAAAAATATCATACAATTCAAAAAAAAATTCAAAAAGTCATTAAAAATGGCCATTGCAGAACACAAAAAAAGGCGTATCAATAAAATTTTACAATAGGAAAATTGTAAATGGATATAATCATTTAAGAGTCATAAAATATTAAATACTAGACTTTTAAGCAAATATGTGATAGCACATAAGCAAATACACATAAGCAAATGTGTGAGATGATCAAAATTTTAAAATTAAAATTGTTCATGATTAAACATCAACATAAAAGTCGTTTACATAGGGCTCTCTCCAGTAAGTATAATTTCAGAGCTTTGCGAAATGCGGGAAAGAATGAAAGCGACTTGACATTCAAAGACAGATGATTATACATTTTTTTGGCATTGTACAGTATTGAGCCTTTAACTAGTTGAGCTCGGGGTTGGCAGATCGTGCTCCGCATTCCTCAGTGGATAGTTGTGAAGATTCCTCAGTGGATAGATGGCCTTTCGGGAACAGCATATCTGCTGTTCCCGAAAGGCCATCTATCTGCACGCTGTTCCCGAAAGGCACATATCTGTGCTTGCGGATTAAGCAAACGGTTTCAAAAATGAATAAAGAAGGAAGAGTCAGTATTTTGAAATTTTTAATGAAATTCTGGCAGTGAGTTCTACTGTTCAGTCCCAATAAATATCAAACTGCTCTCTTTTAAAGTTTGAAAATACGATCAAATTTTGTCGCGCAGCAAGTACCCCAGAATGGGAGGGCATAACGAAGATGCGACTCAAAAATGGCTTAATAGACTATTCTAGAGGTTGATAAGTTAAGTTCCTTAAAAACTGATCTTAGCGCAAAACAGTCAGCGCTTAGTTTCTTTCATAAAGCTTCGATGTGCAAGTCCCATTTTAACGAGTTGTTAAGTCCTACAACAAGTCCTAAGAATTTCACAGAGTCCACGACGTCAATAGTGGTGTTATTAAGTACAAAAGGTTGTATAGTACTTTTATATGACAAAACTTTAGTTTTTGATAGGTTGAGGCATATTAGATTAGAATCGCACCAAGATTTAATGGTGCGTAAGTCACTGGATATAGTATTATATAGTGCCGTAACATCTGGGCCGAGGGTTCTTGTGCTAGACGAAGAAGTCTTATTCCTTAAGTCATTTACAATAGCCCAAGTCTCCTTAACAACATTACCGAATTTGGTTAGCCTCCCATTATATTAAATGTTCTTTGCAGCGGCTATATGACAATGGTTCGACAATCCAAGTGTATTTCAAGTCAAACATATTGTCCACATTACAACAATCAAATTAAAAACTTACCTTAAAAGCTGATACAATTCCAATGTTATATAAAAGAATAAAAAAGCACAGTTTGTTTAAAGTATATAGTGTCAACACAGTCACACATTTTAAAACTTAATACTAAATTATACTAAATATTATGACGTGGAGGAGTTTTTCGCTGATTCTTGGTAGATCCGACTTAGGTACTTGTTTGACTGTCGGGAAATATTTTTATTCTATTCTATTCTATTTTTATTTGTAGATATTTATTTTTTTTAAATTTATGTCTCTTAAACTAATGAACGTATTTGTAAGATTTTTGTATATTTTGTACTATCTTGTATTTTTGTTCTTTTATTATTTTGACAAAGTTTCGTATATTTTGTATTTGTTTTATGTTTATTTATTATTTGCCACAGCTTTGTAAACAAGATAACAATAATCTTGTAACAATAAAGCAATGATTGAATGATTGAGTTTATCTAAAAACTAAAAAAAAATTATGAAAGTAGGACATAAAAAAATTGTAATACTTTTACTTAAATAAAATTGATGAGAAAATTTTCAGTTGCTTTTTTTTCATTTGACTGTATATTCAGGGCTAAATGAAAACACAGTTTTACTGATTTTAGTCCTTTCGTACGTAGGTGGCCTTTTAAGTTTTTACAATCGCTTGTTTCTTCAGTTGTACTGGACACGTCGCAACCATTCGATTAGATGATCGAAGAACTGTTAATGCCGAATGGTATACAACTATACAACAATTTGTCAGAAAAAGAGAGTGGAAAAACTGTTTCTAGAATTGGTCTGAGGGTATGTAAAAATCTATAGACCTTGAGGGCGAATATTTCGAAAAGCAATAAAACACTGTGTTTCGAACTTGTTCGTTTCTGTTTCATTTTTTGTAAAAACTTAAAAGGCAACCTACGTAGTAGATATTTCATAATATCATATTGTTGTGCATTTTCTATACTATAACTATATGTCATTATTATTATTATTATTATTATTATTATATGATGCCGATTTTATGTATGACTGTATAAAAACAAACAATATTGGTAGATATCAGAATTATTTATTAGACATTTGTTGAAAAAATCTATACTTTTGGTAAGGCAGCAACAACGTTGCTCTCAATACCACAGTGGTCGATGCCACGGACGAATTTGACGTAACCATCTAGACCCCAATCAGTGTTCCAGGAGTTGGCGATCAACCAGTACTTGGAACCATTTTCCACACCCCAACCAGCGATTTTCACTGCGTGGCCTCCGATATAGTTGGAGCTGGTAGCTTCATATACACCTAGAATTCAAAGAAATTGTAATATAGGTAATATTGGAACACACATGATCAATATTTTATTCATTATCATTAATATAAACTATTTTTTTTCTTGTATTTGAGTATATTTTATTTTATATATTTACAACGATTTTAATATTTTTTATATATTATTAAATACCTACAGAGCTGTGCGACACAAAACGATTTACTGTTTATTTACTTTTTACTGTTCTTAAGTCGGTCCCAGAAACTACGTACATTTGGCGAATATTCGGTATTCGACCTTATTCGCGTAGCGTGTGGGAGGTTATCTTCGACGAAGATTCGTACATCGTCATTTTCCCGGCGGTTGTCGGTAAACTGGCACGAATCAAAGGAGCTCGTAGTGCGGCGTAGTCAACTTCGGAATTACTCCCAAACACTACGGCTATTTGTTTACGTGTTTTTTTGTTTTAGCGGCGCGCTCCCCTCAGTTCACTTGTGTATTGGTGGCGGGTTGATTTCCATCATCTTTATTACTCAAAAATGGAATGGACAAACGAGTTAACTTTGGAGTTTTTGCAATTATTCGAGAGTGAACCAGTGATTTGGAATCCACAGATTCCAGATCATAAAAACAGGAACGAAGTGGCTGATGCCTGGAATATATTAAATCAAAGTTTAACGTGGAGTGTTCGGTTGTCGAATTAAAAAGAAGAGCCTTTGATGGCAATGTTTCGCCAGTTACAACTATATTAATAAATTACACAACTAGCAGCGACAATAGGTTTGTTCTCACAGCGTGTTCCCAACATGTTTGTGACTTCTTCCAAACCGGTGTTAATACGCAGGTCTCAAATAATGCAGTTTCTGATCGATTTCAAACTGTCTGTGCAAACAGCGAATTCCCTATTCTTCTTTTTTGATCTAATATCACTAATTTTAAAATTTAAAAAACAAAAAAACAAAAAAAAATAAATATAAAATGATCATCCAAGTAATTTTGATTCTTGGGCCTGCCCCGTTCCTCCATCAGCTCTTCTAGGTCTGTGTCTGTATCCAAAAATTCGGACGCCTCAGATACTTCAGAAGATTCAAAATCGCTCATTTCTTTTCATTATTTTTTTGAAGAAAAAAACACTAAACAAAAGCAGCACACGTTTTGCAGGTTAGGTTTACCAAGTTGATGTGTTGATGATTGTTCTGGTAATGACGTCGGGTCGCAAGTCGTAATACACATGCGCCGGACACTTTACTTGCAAAAGATCCGCAAACAGGTCTGACTGTCAGCTAACAATCAGAATTTTCTGTGTGAACAGCGTACTGTTGGTTGGAAACGAATCAAAAATTTCTGTGCGAACGCGTTTTACCCTATTGCGCATGATTATCTGTTGGAAATATGTTTCTTACAGCTGTGAGAACAAACCTAATAGCTATCTGCTCTTCTTCACTGTCCATTTTGAACTGCAACAGCACTGAAAACCAAGAAGCGGCTGCGCGGCGTTGCTCTACTACGGGAAATATTTGTCATTGGACGCATTTTTACAAATAACGTAGCGTGTGGGAAGGTGGCCGAAGCCGCAGTACATAATTCGAATGTTCGCACATTCGACAAATGCACGTAAAGGTGCGTATTCATTATCCGCACGAACGAACGAACGAATGTTCGCTAGTGGTATGGACGGGGACCGCACGATCGGACCGCATGAGAAGACCGGAGGCATTTGTTGGCGAACGCCTTTGATGTACCGACTCGAAACGGATGGTCGAGCGAACAAACGAACGAACGGCCGCATGCGTTCGGTCCCCGTCTAAATATACCGCACTTTCATTCGTTCGTTCGTTCGTTCGTTCAGATAATGAATACGCACCTTAATGTGTGGGACCGGCTTTATAATCGCCACACAGTCCCATTTTTGCCTATTTTTTTTGTTTAATGTGTATATTAATTTTTGAAAAGGTAATAATTAAACCATTTGAATTTGAATTTAATCAAAACGAATTATTAGGGATCACTCGTAGCCAAATTTTACGATTTATTGGTACACTTAGGTTTGTCTTGCGCAAAACCATTTTGCGAAATGATCTATATGAGAGTCTAAACGGCTCTTTAGTGATTCTGACTTACCAGATTTGTAGGTGGGGAAGTCATCCATAACGTCGAAGCTAGTTTCGACAGGTCCACTCTTAATAATCTCCAACTGAATTTGCAATTCCTCAGCCAAATTTATTGGTTCTTGTCCGAAAGTCAAAGACTCCTCGTAGTTCAGACCGGAAGCAGAGCAAGCCTTGGTGCAAGCAGGAGTCGTGTAGTTCAGAGCAGAGCATTGAGGTCTGGTGGTGTAGTCGACGTGGTGTTCGCAAGGTGCCAGGGTGTAATCTTTGCACCCCTGGTTGCCTTGGTATAGACCTCCGGTTACGATACCGGTGTTTTGCCAGTAGTACCAAGCTTCGAGTGGGTAACCACCGTCACAGCCGAAACCGCAGTCAGAGCAGCAAGTGTTGAGGTCTTCGACGGAGACGAAGACTTGTTTGGTTTGGTTGGATTGGATACAGATACGGTCGGACATGGCGGCTGTGGCTGCGATAGCCTAGAAGAAATTAAGGAAGAGTATGAGTTGAGATGATGATTAGAAATTATTCTGGAATAACGTTAACTTTTCAAATATTAAGGCAAACATTCGATAATTGTCCACAACCTTCAAACAAGCTTAAAAGCTAATACATACCCAACAAGATCCACAATCTGACTGATCCCAGACTGTTTGAACAGAAATACAGTTAGGCCATTGCTCACGAGCATCGAAAGTATCAGGAACATCCTCAGTAACGTCATGAGGGGCTGATACAGGGAGTTTATTCTTGAGTCGTGCATCGGGCAGTACACCACTGACCATCCTCTTGACCTTTGCCCAGTCTTCAATATCGAAGTTCTTGCCGGCCTTCCATGTCTTGGCCTTCTGGTTGATTTGGGCGATTCTTTCGTCGGAGAGGGGATGGAAGTCCAAGATGGCGGCCGCGGACAGGGCTATGACGCTCAGGGCGACGCAAATTCCCAAACACTTCATGGTTGTCTAGAAGAACGGTGAGAAAAAACTGTTTATTTCTTTATAATGAAGAATAATTTATTATCATGTACTTCAGCCAAATAATATGAATAGACAAACATTATTTTGCAAAAAAAGTAGGTACCCGAAATATACAAACCAGAGGTAAAGGGTGAAAGTCTTTATTTAATTTTTTCATTTTTTGTAATTTTCTTGGATTTGGAAATTTCTTAAATTTTTGAGGTATATACTGTAAGTGCGACACATTTTAATATTAAAAAAGTGTTCTCCAGGGGCGTGCATATAGCTTATAACTGGAATATTTTTCTAAAAAAAGTCTGTTTTAACCACTGATTTGTTGATTTCTTTTCCTCTTTATTGTGATATTGTCTAAATCATTTAATGTCGATTAAAAGTTGCCTTTTGATGCTATGTCGATTTCGGTCTCCTTGATAAGCGCAATTTTATTAATTTGTCTTAATTCAGAGCTATTAGCAACCTTTAAAGTATTTAATGTCATTAACTGGCTGAAGTGTTGAATAGGTACTCATTGATTTCTCATCAAAAAATATGTAAAAATAGTTTCATGGGGTAGGTGGTGCTGAACATAATAATATAATATATCGAATAATAAATTAGAATAAATAAATAATTTGTTAATTTTATTTTTATTTTAATTTTAATTTTATTTAATATTTGTGATTGATAATCGCTTTTATCTCATCAAGGAAGCAGTAATTGACAAAATTATATGAGACAACTTTTAATCGGCATTAAACGCACTACAGAAATTTGCGGCTAACCACCAAAAAAAAAGGGAATAAACATGAGTAGCATACATGTGTTTGAAGGAAAATATTCCATTGATAACCTTTATGAACGTCCCTTGTGAATCTTTTCAACTTTTTAAGCATTAAAATATGTCGCATTTATAGTCACTTTTCGGTTAAGGTTATAGTAATATATCGGTAAAAGCACTTGGAAGAAAATTATAATAAGTGAAAAAAAATAAGACTAACCTTCTGTAACTACGAAACAAAGCAGCATCGCACAAATATATCGCAATTGATATAAAAAATAAATCTTATTTTTACGTGAGAAATCTTTACATGAGAGATGGCACATGTTTTTTGAAACATTCGGTATAGCAGTCTATTATGACATAATATTAATATAATAGTAAGTATATTTATATTATTTGAAAATACTTTCAAAATGTGCGCCGTCATTGCTGGTATATATCTTGTAAAAAATGGCGAAAAACATCAAATAGGAAGAAATATGATATGGAGCTTTTTCGGAATATTGGATTACTCTGTATTGAAACTTACCTGTTACCTATAAATAAAATAATCAATGAATTAATCAGTAAAGCAAATTAATCAATGAATCAACAAAGAATGGCACAGTTACAAACGAAGACTTAATAAGACTCGCTCGAAGAAAAATTTTGAGTGCCTCCGGATTTTCTGTATTTGCATCTCTTTTAGTGCCGTAACCATGGTAATATCTGAGATTAATAAATTATACCCTGGGATAATTTGCGGTGAATCTGCAGTTCTAAAAAGTTTTCTAAAATATACAGAAACATTTAAAAGGAAAAATGCACGATTTTCAACATCTTTTTTGCGAAAAAAAACCTCATAGACGTGTTCCTGGTGCTGAAATATACCACCCCTGCAAATATTTGCACTTATTTAAGACTCACCCTGTCTATTATTAAATAATAAAACTGAAGAAAGGTAAATATTTAATATTAACCATTTTATTTAGAGTTTGTAAAGTTCCATATTCTTTTTCAATTATAATAAACTTTTTCTTTCATATAATATTACCAATAAATGAGTAAAAATTTCTAAATATAATTGTATATGAAACTGACATTTTACTTACCTTTAGATTATTGACTCAGACACAATAAACAAAAATCTGTTTTTCAATCGAGTTTATATATATTTCTAGTTTTAATCTTTAAACATCTTAAAGATAAATAATACTTGATAGTCTGAAGTACTACTAGGTACGATGAAAAACAATTTTATTAACGAATTAATATAAATAATGCGTCTGTGAGTATTTAATACTCACAGCCACATTTTTCAAATTAATTCTTCAATAAACAAACTCAAAAACAGTAACCCTTAATTTATGGTATTGAAATGTTTATGAGTGAACAAGATCTTGTGTTGAAGAGATTGAACAAGATCAAGAGAGTATTTGTTTTAATTGGATGGTTTTTCCTGTGATCGAAAAAATTGCGTTGAGTTAGTTTAAAAATTATTATTAATGATATACAGAATGGTTTCCGAATTAAGTGCCATTATTTTAAGGGGTGGTAGAAAGAAACATTTTCTTTTTACCATTTTTAAATTAAATTGACAATTGATTTAACTTTGAGAATTTAAAAAAATAATGGCCACAATTTGAGGGCCGCCGGCACCAATCGATAATCAGACTAAAATACCAAGCAATTACCAGAATCTCAGCTTGCTGACGCCCAGTGTTAACAAATCGACTAGAAAGATTTAAAAACGACTTAGAAAATTCAGATTAAAAGTAAAAAACTTACCTAACATTAGAAAACGGGTCTATTGGAGATATAAAACGCTCTCTAAATGTAAGGCGTAAGGTACGTCACCACCATAAGAAACATAGACAAAGAGATATATTGCAGTCAGAGTCATATTGCAGTCAGTGAATTAAAATTAGTACGCAAGACAACATATTATAGTGGTTGGAAGCCCTGGTGGTCTACAAGGAATCCCATTGAAAAATGCGTAAATATAAAGAATCAGTTTCTTTTATCAAATAATAATTTTTACAATATAGCATGCTTATGAACTGAAACTGAAACTACTTATAAAACGTACCAATGCTGGCGCCTTCCTCTCATTAGTGGTGGGCAAAACTGTTATTTTTAGATAAAAGTTGAAACTCTTATAGTTATTTATAAAAAAACAGCTTAAAATAACAGGTTTCTTTATATCCTCTTATAAAGACAATCCGGGGACATACTGTATGAATAAGGGTAATATCTAATTATAGTATTTGAAGAGATTAATTTTTCTTAGTGCGATTCCAAATAATTTGAAGTCTGTATAATTTAGCCTTTACTTGTTTTAGTAGTTGAAAAGTAATATCTTTATTTAGTGTATTCTTAGTATCTATTGTTTGTTTAGGTTAGGTTAGGTTTAGGTGAATAGTAAATTTCTTTTTTGAAGAGCTTTGAATCGCAGCAAAACCAACGAATATACATTATTTAAAATTAATATTATACTCAATGTGTTTGCTACCTTTTAAACAGTTTTTTCTTAACATAGTGTTTTTATTCTTATCACCCTCTATAACAGTAATAGTCTTAGACAGTGGTGAAAAATACAAAACTATTACTTTGCAGCTATTGTAATAATTTAAGACTGGGAAAATTTAGAAAAACTCAAAACTTTTTTTTCTAAAGCATTTCTTTGGAAAAATATACATATTACTAAATAATTAATTAAATTGTTATTTCCATTTTTTATTAGGTACTTCTCATTATTATAATAAATAAATTAATCACTAAATTTCTAAGCACCATTCAAAATTTCTTAAAGTAAATCTTAGTAAAATTGTCTTTGAAGAGTTTTAAAATGTAGCAAAAACAATGAAAGTATATAAATAAAAAAGATATTTAATAAAAATAACTAACCAACTAACTAAACTTAATAACTTAGTACTGAAACATACAGCGCCATAATATCTCGACCTCCGCCCGTTATGCTCGTAACAGGTTGAAAAACAATGTATCGAAAACAACTGATGCGTTATTCTCCAACCTGTTTGGAACCTCCATCGACAATCGACCGATGTAGCAGCGTTATTTTCCCACTCCGATTATTTCGATCGCCGTCTGTTATGCTCGTAACAGGTTAAAAAATAACGTATCTAAAATGACTGCTTATTTTCTATACGTTATTCCCCAACCCGTTCGAGCCTCCATCGACAATCATCGACCGATGCAGCAGCGTTACTTTCCCACTCCTGTTATCTCGACCGCCAGGCGTTACGCCCGCAACTGTTTCAAAAAAGCTGCTTCTTTTATATCCTATTATTTTTAAGCTGTTGCAAGCCCAACACGACCATCAACCGATGCAGCTACGTTCGCCGTAGCGCATTCCCCACTCCGTTGTCCGTTGTATCGCGCCGCCTGTATCAATGGTTGTCGAAATAACATGTTTTCCATCCATACTAGTTGTTTCTTGGAATTGCTTCGAGCCGCGTAGAATTACGTGGCGTGGTAGAGCGCCGACTTCGTTTCACGAGCGGTCGATCTCTATGTGTCGTTATTTTATATCTGTTATTTTTTAGAAGTAGTAACGGTTGCGTTATGTTATTTCTAAATAATTGTTATAAAATAGCAGATAGTTAAATAACAACCCATCACTAGCTCTCATATACAAGTCCAGGAGTTTTAGCATTTAGCTTAGCTAATACTTGATAAAGGTTATGATGCATTTCTTCAAATGTATCCATAACCGTTAATTTCAAAATTGATGACGGTGTAAAATTTCAGATAATACCAGTTCTAGAAGATGTTTTATTTTAATATTTAGTTTATTTATAATCAACTGTTTTAATATCAATATCTTTATCTGTAAACGAATATGCGTTTTTAAATTAATTTAAAGGAAATTGATCAGACGTTTGAAGATATCGATATAATAAAATATGTAGTCCCATTCATTGCAAACTTTTGATTTTAATGAACATGACATTAATAATTAGTAAAAATTAAAAACAAATTATAAAAAATAATAATATAGAAAGTTGAGGCTTTTTGGTTTTACCTCTTCAAGTAATTGTTATCAGGTAGTAATTGTTACTTTGGATGTTTAACTTGATATAATGTCATTTTAACAGAACGTCAACGGTTTTTATAGACGTTGTCAGGGGCGGGAAAGTGAAATAGCAAAAGCGGTTCCACCATTTCCACGGAAATTTCAGATAAAATAGTTCCAGCCTCAGGTGCTAGGTGGTAGTGCAATTAATTTTTAGGTTAAGGAGTTGCTACTAGTTATTGCCAGATGGCGTTAAATCAGAATTTTTTTGTAGTTTTCATAGTTTCCAACGGCCATTGTCATACTATTGTCAAATTCTCAAAAAATATTGTCGTTGTCATAGCGCCAATCATAATATTATCAAATGATTATTAAAACGTTTTTCAAACTATAATTTGTTATATGTGTTTTAATTAGACAATTCCTTTTGTTTGTGGCCCTAAAAATATAATGTAAGTCTTTTATTTTTGCCATCATTTAAGTACCTATTTATATTTACTCCATTTACAAAATTTTGGGCGTATTACGTTGGTCTTGTTTTATTATAATAAACGATGTTTAAATATTTGACTTATAAATAAAAACTTTAAATAATAAATAATATTTACACATATTTGGTTTTAATTTTATTTAATAATTGTATAAATTATACTGTTAAATCATATTTTTTACACATCACAACGATACTTGTTATTAGTATTGTTGAATTTGTGTAAAAAATAAGATTAATGCCCACTTGCACCGTTTGTATAAACTTTGTTTAAAAGCTAAACAGTGATTAACTATACATATTTCATTATAGTTGATCACTGTTTAGCCTTTAAACAAAGTTTATACAAACGGTGCAAGTGGGCATTAATAATCAAATTTAATTATTTTAGAGTAAAATTCAATAAATACGCTCATTTAAAAAGCCCGCGCTTCGATCCATTTAAAACAAGCCCTACTCAATAGATGACGCCACTTCTGTAGGACCATTTTTCAGTATGGCAGAGTCCATTCTTTTTCTAGCTAGGTATATTCTTTGGACGTTGTATTTCATTTCAAGTCAAGTCATTTTTGTAAAGACAAATCAATATAATGTTATTTAAGTCGTTTTTATGACTTAAGTCTATAATTTTGACTTAAATCATGATGATGATCTGTAAGTTAAGTCAGTAAAATGCTTCAAATCAATATAGTTACCCTCAAGTCAAGACAACCAGAATTCAATTGAAGTACCTTTTTTTAAATGTTCATATTAATTTTCTTGTATTACCAATTAGCGATTTTCTTAATATCATATTATTAATTTATTGTAGGTACAGATGAGACTAAAATCACATAAAATAAAACGGTTAATAACTACAAACACAAAAATATGTTTTTTCTTTAAAACTGAACCGATTTTGTAGTACTTTATATGTATCAATAAATAACACAGGCCGACATGATTTTTGTAACACGAGTCAGTTGCAGAATTTCTTCATAAAAATATGCTTCTAATAACAGAAAAAATACTCCTGAAGCTCCTACACGTACCACTTTTCAGTTGCCTAATTACGCCTCTTTTTTGCAGGTAGTCAATTTTATAGATGTCAGGTATTAAGTCTAGGTAGATTCGTTTACATACAGGTAAATTTTATGATGGGATGATTGAAAGGGACGCATTTTGTGCACTATAATATATTGTGAAAAACATAAGAGAGTTCAGTTTTCAGTTGATTTTCGACGTGAGTTGTTCTATGCGTGTAGATAAATAGTACGAAAATGTCAAGTCAAACGCGCCGCAGTTGTAAAGTGTCTCCTGATCGATTTTGTTACATTTGTGGAGAATTTATGGTGCAATCACAAGCCAGACCATTTTCTGAAAATGTGAAGAAAGCCTACTTCAAGTATTTTGGAGTTTTGGTTGGAGATCAAGACAAGCAGTGGGCTCCTCATGTGTGCTGCGTTACTTGTAGCGTGTCGCTTGTGCAGTGGATGAAAGGGAAGAGGAAAAAATGCCATTTGCGGTTCCAATGGTATGGCGAGAACCAACTAACCATTTTGACGATTGCTATTTTTGCCTGACGAAAACTGAAGGTTTTTCCAAAAAACAAAAGCACAAGATCGAGTATCCCAATTTGCCGTCTGCCATACGACCTGTTCTTCATGGTGCAGATCTCCCAGTGCCGATCGC